ACCTCTCAATTCATATCCACTCAACCCTATGTTCTTTTGTAAAATTCCATCCAGTCCAATTAGTCCTGCTTATACCCTCTCAAAGATGTGGCAATCTACTAGAGGGTGTGGACCACCAAGTACCACACCCTTAAAGGAAAGTAACCCTCCCTCTCCAAGGAGTTATCAATATCAATAGCTCCTTAGCTAGGATTAGGACTTTGTGTGCACCTCTGTACTCTATACAGGAGCTTTGTCTAGCTTAAGTTTGCACAGGTCTGAATCAGCTTCGGAACTGTGTCTATCACTTTGTAGATAACTTCTTAGTCACTGTTATGATAGATCATGCCCCTTCACTATACTGCAGGGCTCTCATTGCTTCTCCAAATATATTTGGAAACACTTAGTTAAGAAGAAACATGGGCTAGGGATGTATCTTTGTGGACACAGTACTTGCCATACAAACATGAGGAGCAGAATTTGGATCCCCAGAAACCGTATAAAAATCAGCCATGTTAGGCAGAGAACCCAGGCAAAGTCCAGAAAGCTGTGGCAGCTCAGCTGAAAACCCAAAGCACTGGAGTTCAAGACAAGGAATCCCTGGAGCACACAAGCTAGCCCTCATAGTTGAATGGTGAGCTACAGTGAGAGGTCCTGCTTCAGTGTTCAAAATGGAGATCCATCAAGCTAGAAGCTTGATGCCAGCCTTACACTTCCACATACATGTGCACACATAAGCACACATGTATCTACACCCTCCCGTACATGTGACCATGTATATACACATGTGCTACACATATATATTTGCAAAAAAAGGTAAAAAGAAAAAAATAATGTGAAGTTGATAAACCCCTTCACATTTCCAAACCCAATAATTTCATGATTTAAACATACTGTCTAAAGGATAAATGATATATAAATAGTGTTGTTCTCAACTTTAAAACTTTAAAACTTGAACTCAGACCTTTGCTTCTGGCTACTAGGGGGCAAGTTTAAAGTTCTACAAAATATGCCCATCAGTTAAAGAGGCTACATGCTACCTAGATATTAAGTGTTCCAATATTTTACCAACCATTATTGCCCTTCTACTCAAGAATGAGAACATATAGCCTAGACTCCTGGCAAACGATGAACTGAGAGCTTCCTCTTCATCTTACACCCACACCTGGTGTCATCGTCATACAAATTTGGGGGGGGAAACGTGAAGTTTATTCACTCAGTTTGGATTATCTGATTTATTTGATCTTCTTGAAAACATAAAATAAAACCTTGTACCTAGGTTGAATGACTTTGGGCAGCCTTATTATATAGCAAACAATTCCTTAGTTTTTTGAGGTAAATCCTTGGACCTAGACCATTAGGGAGCAGTCAAAAGTAACTACAACAGTATGTGGGACAGAGAACCCAATATTCAGTATTAGTGCATGCACATTTAGCAGATGCCAGTTTTGTTTTCAGTCACTGCTAAGGATTTCAATGAAGCCTTTCTTTCATGGCTCATATCTAAAATGTTCCCGAAGGTCATATGCTAAATAAAGGCCTAGGCTCTAGCTGGTTGTACTTAAAAAAGTGGTAGAAATTTAAGGAAGTAGAGCCTGGCTAGCTGAAGAAAGTGGGTGACTGTTAGCAAGTTACTAGGAGTAGAGTCTACTAGTCCCCTGGCCCCTTCCTCGTTTTCTCTGTTGCTGAGCTGTCATGAGATGAATAGCTTTATCTGGTACACTGTCTGGCCACCATGATGTTCAGCTTCACCTCAAGACCCAAGCAGTAGAACCAGGCAACCATGGAATGAAACCTGTGAAACCATGGGCCAAAGTCAATCTTTCCTCCCTTTGCTTGATTTTTTTGAGGGAGTTTGTCACAGCAGTGGAAACTAACACAATCTTCTTTTGAATCTTTAGAATACACTTGGTCCTGCTGCTGTAACAATCTCCTACTTTCCCTGATCAGCTCCACCCCTGATCAGCACCGATCCCTTCAAGGTTGGTTGTCTCTGCCTAGGTCTCTTCTAATCATCTTTATTAATTATCTATTACTTAATATGGGAATCTACTTTTAATAGCCCTTGTTCATAAATGAATTTGCAGTACAATCAATTAAATAACCATTATCCTGAGAGATCTAGACAAAAGCTTGTTAACTCTTTGGTAAAGTTTCAAGAATTAATGTAACTTTAATTTGTTTGTAAAAGTTAAGCCAGTGTACTATTTAGGTTTCTGATTAAGCATAATTGAACAGGGATATATCATAAAGAGACTTTTCTGTCCTCTAAGAGGAGAGACTAGAGAGTTCCTTTATGGAGTAACAGAAACATAGGAAGGTGAGTGGTCTAGGCCCTAGGAATTCATTGATAATGCCATCCCAGACTACAGAAACAAGTGTCACCTCTCTTCTTTGTACAGCTCATTCTCCAGTCAAGTTGGTAGGCATAGGTTTTCCTGACAATAGGTGATAAGGGTAGACCCTAACCTTAATTAATCAAATGTTTATGTTTAGTATTTTAACTCTGGAGTAAGTTCATTCAACCATTCATTAAATGTTTATTAAGTAAATATGCCTACTACGTGCTAAAAAACACAGCAGTAGACAAATAATAAAGCCTTACATTCTGGAATCTGATAATATCAATGGAAAACTTGTAAAAGGTAGATATTTTCCAGATGGTGATAAGTTCTATTTACAAAAATAAAATTGTACATGTAAACCAGAAGGAATTAAAATTTATACATGGTGTTTTGTGTGGGAAGGAGGGATTAAGGTCTATGATAAAGAGCCTTTTGAACAGAGATGTTCAAGAAGCAAAGGCATGAACTATGTGAATGTTTATAGCTATTCTGTCTGCTACAAACACAATGAGATTAACATATGTAATTTTATACTTCCTAGTAGTCTCAATAGACAGTAAGAAACAAGTAACAGTAATTTTAGCAGTATATCTTATATAATTGAAACACCCAAACATTTTCATACAATAATATAGAAATTATTAAGTGCTCTTACATGTACTTTCCTTTAAAAAGTCTTTAAAATATAATATGCTTGTCAAATTTATAGTTCATTTCAACTGAAGAGCTGAGCAGTTGATACATAGCACAATGTGTCTGGAACCAGTGCCCTATGAAAGCTGAAGGCCTGTAAAATGTCAGCACTATGGGAGAGTCTGTGTGTCTCTTCAGAAGAATATACAGTCCTTAGTTACTCTTATGGCATGAGCAAAAGAAAGATAGGAGGTCAGGAGTCAAATTAAATAGGGTTCTATGACCTTTGTAAGAACTTCAACCTGTTAGTATCAGTGAAAGTTGAACCACTTGGATGGGACAGTATCACGGACTTGTGACTTGTACAGCTGTGCCAGCCACCCTTCTTGACTTAATGATCTACTATTACTATCATAACATTCCTAATTTGGGAGCAAGGCATTCTATGTTTTCATTTATACTGAGACCTATAAATTATATAAGTGGTTGAAATGGAAACGTTCTGATTAGAGAGTGACTTAAATTCTTTTGACATCTAAATGGAAAATTCTAGTTTCCATGTTAAGAACAGGGTGTAGGAACCATAAGTGTAGATGGATATAAGAAAACATCTAGGGTAATGATGATATAATCTAGGTGAGAAATGGTGAAAAATGACATCAAAGAGAAGAGCCAGTTATTCCTATGCGTCTGCATTGGCCGCATCACAGGACCATGCTGGCTACTATAGCTTCCTGGCCAGCCAGTTTATTGCTGATCATAGTTTCCATAATGGCTACCCCTGGATCAGAAAGTCTTGTATATTTCTAGCATTCTGATTTTCAGAGGAGAGCAGTGTTACAAAACAGCTCTTCCTCTTGCTGATCTTTTAAAGATAACAATAATAAGGAAAATGCTGGGTACCAAGAACTGTATGATGCAATGAGAATTCTCCAAAGCAAAACTATGTTGATATTACAAAATAAAGATCCCCAATGGGGAATGAAATTGACCACTTAAAGAAGGAAGAAGAGAGGAGTTCTGATGAAGCTAAGCATCTTACTGGATCACTATGGTAGAACTCCTTGTATGTTCTCTCCACTGATTCCAAATAAGTAAAAGTTAGTTTCACATAAGAAGTGACCAAACCACTCTAAATAGCACACATGAATTTGGTCATTTGTTCTAGGTGTGGTACCCAACATATATATGTTAGAAACTAATCGCCAATGTATTAATAGGTGAAGTCTTTAAGAAATGATGGTCAAGAGAGCCATGACCTTCTGTGTGGGGTTAAGGACCTTATAAAAGGGCAAAAGGAAACTAGCTCAGCCTTTATGCCTTCTGTTATCATGTGTGAATGAAGCACTTAGCCCTAGAAGAGTGTGTAATAATGAGAAGGCGCCATCTTGAAAGCAAAAAGCCTTTGATCCAGGGCTCTATAGCCTCCAGACTGTGAGAAACTAAATGTCACTCTATATATTTCTCAGTTTTGGATGTTTTGCTGTGGCAATAGGAATGGATAAAGACAACAAGATGTGATCAACCAAAGTCAATGTAACTACAGTGTATATGTAAAATATGTCATAAAGACACTCCCTAAAATATTTGTCAACTTTCATAATGAAAAAAACTCATATTACCACTTTGGAATTTATATTTTTCATCTACTTATCTTTCCTGAGTTCCTTAATCTAAACTCAGGGCCCAGCACACGCTAAGTATAAACTCTAACCACTGAGCTATAATCCCAGCTCTTAGCCCCACAGGTTTAAGTTTTAGATTTGTATATACATTGGTGTAATTCCTCAGTGATTAAGATTGCAAATTTTAAAAATCTCCATTTAGTTCTTTGGTAATCAAATAGAAAACACACAGGTCACACTAAAAATGATACAGTACAGCTATTAGTAAATGAAATACCCAGGAAATAAAAAGTTCATAATCCTAATCTAAATTTTCAAAAGATACTTTAGGCCATCTTCCATGGCCCTAAATCTCTCTGAAATATCAGACATATATATTAACAACTCTCCACTTGAAGGGGTTGTATCAGCTACTTACTTTTTTCTGAAGAACATTGATTTTTCTTTCCTTTACTTCTAACATATCTTTCATATCACGGATCTCTCCAGCTAGGGTCCCCTTCTCTTCGGTGAGGTCTTGGAGCTGTTTTGTTTTCTTATTGAGAAAAGTTTCTTTCTCTTCCAGACGTAATCTCAGTGCATCTACCTGAGATGAGGACAAAGGCAGAAGGTTTTGGTTTTACAAAGAGGTTGCCAGTAATCAGTGCTGTTCTGTGTATAAAGGTGGCAGCAGACAGCACCTGAACAGAGTCCGATTAATTCTGCTAAGTACACCTTGGTGGGGGCTACACAAGTTGCTCAATGGTTATGAGAACTAGCTGGGTGTTCTTTCAGAGGACAAAGGTTCAATTCTGGTACCCACATGGTGGTTAGCAACTGTCTCCAAGGTTGTTAACTCTGAGGTATCCAACACCATTTTCTGACCTTTAGAAACACTGCATGCACAAGGTACACAGACATACATGTAGGAAAAACATCCAAACACATGAAATAAGAATATAAATCTATTTTAAAGTCACCTCAATGCATTTTGACAACCTATAATCAACCATAAAGTTCTGTTGTTCGAATAGCTGAACAGTAATACCTTTTAAAAATTCTATAGAGTTTTCATGAAATAAGGCATTGCAAAATAGTAGCATGTTCCCATGTTTGTTTCTCTACTGATGGGAAACAATATGTTTGCTTAGGGTTGTGAACAAGGCACATGAGCTCTTCCACATGAGATCCCAGGGAGGGAAAACATTGCTCATGCTTTGCAGGATCGTCCAAGAACACAGAGAACACAAAGAGCATCTGGATGAACAAGATAGACATGTAGGGAGGCTGCTAAATTAGAAAAATGCATGGGGCCATGAGGAAGCTGTGCTGCCAGGGAGCGAAACAGACATCCTCAACTTGGATGGTGACTGCTTTCTAAACACTCCTTAAAAACAGACAAAGAACACCAAAGAATCTCCATTTTTACCTGAGTTCAAACATTATAAAATCAAGACTCACATTTTTCAAATGTTATTAATTAAAGGAAAAAAACATAAGATCTATGTATTTTTATCTGTGTATTTATAAGTGGTATGTTACATGTTCCTGTGATTGTGTACTCACATATGCAAGGATACATGTGTACATATGTGTTTGAGCATGTGGAGTCTATGAGCTGATGCTAAGTGACTTCTTTAACTGTTCTGCACACTGATTTATTTATTTTTTCATACATAGTATCTTGGTAAACCTGCAGCTCACCAATTCAGTTCTATTGACTTGCCAGCTAACAAGACCCCAGGGATCCTCTTGTCTCTGCCTCCCCAGAAGTATGATTACAGATGCATGCTGTCACATCTGGTTTTTCCCTGGGTGCTGAGGTTCCAAATTTGGGTCCTCATGTTGCATGGCAATTATCTTACTGATACAGTCATTTCCCAAGGCCCAAACCTTATGGGTAATTTACCATTCTGGATACCATCCACAAAGTAAGTTGTATTTCTAGACTAGACAGCTCAGATCAGGTCATAGAAGAAAATAACCAAAGTAACAAACATACAAATATCAAAAATATAAAGAATATGAAAATCATTTAAAATTAATTTCGTCTTTTCAGATTCTCCTTTATCAATTTCCACCACATTCTCACTCATGTTTACAAATGCATGCTGTGCCAGTTTCTAAGAACAACCATTACACACTATATGAAGGCTCATGCCCCTAATCATTATCAGCAACCACCTACAAGTTTCCAAGGAGATTCTGTGTAAACACTGATATCTAATACATTACTCCCAAGGCACTGGTTTTCTCAATTGAATGTTTAAAAAGGACTAGAAATCTTTGCTCAAACTATTGTACGCCATTTCAGAGAAAACTTGGAACATTCCAAGCACAGATGTTGGGTCCAGGTCTTCTCCTACCTAGCTGTGAAGGTCAGGACAAGTAAGCCTTCCCTCCCGAATCTCCTGCCACAGCTTCTAGACACTAATATCCGATACCCTGTGGCAGTAAAGGCAGGAATTCCTTGGGTAGACTATATCAGAGGAGGATATTATTAAAGACCAAGAAGACTAGAATCTTCTTTGCTTAACCCTTTCCAAAAGTGGTGTGTGTGTGTGCATGTGCGTGTGCGTGTGGGTGTGCATGTGTGTGTGTGTGTGTGTGTGTGTGTATGCCAAACCTGTGTTCTAAAAGGTCTACAATTTTTTACAGTTTCTACTGTAGAAAGGAAGATGTAGCTGGGATTGCCCATGGAGGAGATATGTCAGAAGCATGGGGCTATGAGGTGAGCAGTTCTGACTGCCCTAGACAGAGTTGACATTCTGTGATCAGAGACTGAGAACTGCAGATTCTCTAATACACCAGTCCTGCATCCTAGCTGTCAAAGCAGGATGGTCCATCTGTGAACCAAAAGGAAATGCCCAGTATCAACACTGACATGTGAGACCAAGAATGACAGTGGAGACCATTTGGATGAAGGAGCTGCATGAAATGAATAATCCAAATAGCATTCGTAGCACTTTTTGCCACTTGTGATTCCACAGTGTCCTGCTGTGAACTGTACTGAGCCCAGAAGAGATTAAAGGTAAGCTGTTCTATGAGAATATTTTTCCTGGACTAAAACAGAGAACAAGGATGGATGTGATCAACATGCTACTCACAATGCCCAAACTCAACATGGCAGGAAGATGCCAGTGCCAGCGGAGTTCTTCTGCATGGGAGCTTATTTTCCATGACCATAAGGCATGAACTGAAGATCAAAGGAATTAGGATCATGCCCCTCAATCACTGTCCCTCTATCTTTAGAGCTTTGTACAGTTTCTTAGAATCAAGAGGGGAGAAGAAAACAACTTAAGGGTCATTTTTTTTAAATAAAAAACTTTGACCTGAACTGCATCCAATTCTCAACCAACATTAGCTAAGCTTGCAGTAAGCAAGTATGACATCATTTCTAAAGTCAAACTCAAACTTCCAGATGGTAAAAAACCACAAGCAAGCGTGCAGGACTTCTGATGCACAAAAGGGTAAAGACAGTGAAAAGCAGGCCAGAGAAAAGATATTCTATGAGAACTTAGAATGTGTAGTTCTAAACTGGCTATCAATGAGTGGACTAAAGTTGCCCTGACTAACATGCTGATATCTGCCAACAGTGCACACTACTTTAAAAAAGAGAAATGAGGAAGGCCTTCCTGTCTATGTCATGTCCTAACATCAGGTAGAAAGATAAAAGTTGAACTGTTTGGGAATGTGGAATACCTTTCTTTGTCCCTTCACTCAACACCAAATAATTTTAAGAGCCTTTGACACTCTCTCTTAAACTTTGGCAGTTGACTCAATAATAATACTTGGCAAAGCAAAGAGGGCTATCACTTCCAAGAAAAGAAGAAAGAAGAAAAGAAAACGAGAACTGTATGATATAATCAATGCACAAAGATCCATATGGTTGAACTCCCATTTTTCCCATATCATTTAACCACATAAGACCTAGTCACCTAGTGTTTAAACTACTAACAGCTTTCCATTTTAAGAGAATTTCTCATCGCCTTTTGATCCAGTTGTGTGTGTCAGTGTGTCTGTGTTCATGTGTGTGTATCCATGTATAAAAACATGTAACATATGAAAAATTAACTTTGTATCTGGCAGTATAAAACAAAACATTTGTTATCACTTAGGTTCCAGGTAATAACTTGAAAGGAAAGGACTGTGGCAATAAAATTGCCAAAATCAGAGTTAAACATTATTAATCTTCATGTCAGCACCCAGGAATTATAACCAGTTACAATAGTGAGGTGTGCTTCTAAAAATTCTATAGAAATGGATCCCAACTTTTCTGTCATATTTTATGTGGGCCTTGAGAAACAGTTTCAAGATGGTGACAGAACACCAAGTGCCACTTGATGTGCCAGAAATCATTTTAAGAATCAAGTGGTTTGTGTCAATCTTAGAATGACAACAACACTCTAGAGACAAGCACTCAATGAGAAAGAAAACACTGCTTGCAACTTACTTGACAACTCTTCAGAAATAAAACAAACATGCCTTCATGAAGAGCAACTTTAAAAGAGAAGGAAACCAGAATGCTCACAAAAGTTCCCAAGATAGTTTGTTCCACATCCAAAGTTCTTCTTCCGTTTGTTTGTTTTCCCTAATAGCAGACTTCGGTTAAGGGTCTATTTGAATTTAATTCAACTCACAATCATTCAAATGAGAAGACAGCTTGGAAGTTGGAAGGATACATAACATATACAGCTTCCAAAGATACAAACAACAAAATAACCTCAAACCCCAAACTTGCTGTGGTGGAAACCACTCATTCTCATTCACAGCCAATGCTCTGCCCTCCTGAATGGTTAAAAAGACTGGGGTGTCTAGTCACCTCCCTTACAGAAAGACGACATCTGGGATCTTAGTAATGCTCCCAAATGTAGCACATCACTTCCTGTTGGTGTACCAACATTTTGCCATTCCTTAGAATCCTAGAGGTTACATTTGGTAGATGGTGGAGCTGCAAGATGTCAGACCCTCTGAAAGTCTACATCTTCAAGAGACTGTGAGAGGCAGGAACTCCCCCCACAAACACCAAGTCCCTGTAGGGATTGAAGGAAGAGTATGATACCTTAAACTACTCAGAAACAGATACCATAACTTCTGGATATAACAAGATGTAAGCATTTTAAAATTAGATTTTTACACAGTACCATAAACCTGGGAGAAATGAAAAGTCCTTGTTCTCCTTTGCTCTTTCTACAAATAGGACCTCAAATTCTTCTCCAATTCTTCCACTGCATATTGAAAGAAGGTTGAAAAAGAAAAAAGAAGACCCAAGGACAAAACTCAAAGAAAGCTGAGCCTTTGAGAATGAATATGTGAGTTGGATATCATGGGCTTGGGAAGGAGAAGGATTGAGAATGAAAATGAAGCCCATGTCATTGAGTTCAACGGATAAATAAGCAAGCACTCAAGTAAACAGCTTTTCACAAACAGACTGCAGTGCACATACGTGTTCAACCAGCTCACAGCAATGACCGTGAACTCACCTATAGAATGCAAGCATAAATAAAGTATGATATGAGAAATGAATATAACAACAGTACCTCCTTCATCCAGTTGTTTTGGGGATTAAATAATAACAGAAGAAAACAACTTAGCACGGTGCCTGGC